GAATTCTTAGCATTGCGTTCAGAAAATTGTGAATGCATTCAAAACATTAAAATTATTCCGTTGCACAATTCATTAAAGTAAGAAGGCACTCAAACAAAAAGAGAGGGTTGAATGATTGTAGGTCTTACCTTTGTAACAATTGAGGCTATTCTCGGACGATAGTGTCTAATCACCATACCGACTGCCACCGGCGCAGTAATGAAGACTAAAGTTTTCATGATGGTCGCGTACGGTATGATTATGGGGGAGTTGTCGTCGACATCTAGCCATATTTTCGAGTACATCCATAAATTCAATGGCATCCCTCCCAAGGCCAGGATAGATGAGAATGTCGTCATCACGATGCTGGAAAGAAATTTATTCATTATGTGAGCCGTGAAGAATTCAGATCATTCTACTCACTGTGCATCAATGAAGTGCCGTTTGACTATCACTGGACACTGCAATTGCGTTCATGTTTTTGGAATTTTTTGCTGAACGCAATTGGAATTTTTTGCTTATTTTTTTTTTACTCGATTACAACTCAACTTTACATAACTGACTTCGTTTTCGCAGATAAATTTTTTAGATTGTAAATGAGTTCCTTTAAAGTATTTAAATATTAACACATCTGCCTAACTTGAACCTGTTGTCGTCATTAGAAGTATCGAATAAAGTAATCTTCAAAGAATTAAAATTTTTTATTATAAGAAAGGTTATATTTAAAATTTCGTGCGGGAAAAATTCCCACGTCATTGCCTTTGCCTTATGCCTCGAATTTACGATTAATTGAAATAAATTGAAATCGCATGAAAAAATTTTGTGCCGAGTTCATTGCCCCGCCGATGTTCTGTTTAATGCGCATGCAGTCAGAGCAAGTGTGGAGACGTTCAGACAACACGGCACACTCGCTGTACGATAAACAATCACTTCCTTGCGTTGCAACGATCGATAGCTCTTGGCTCATTTATGCATGATAATGTGCTGTGGAACCAGGGCAACCAGAGCACAGAGCAAGGGATGGTTTCTATTTAATTATAGTTTCAATTTAGGGACGGTTTCTGTCGAGGGACGGTTTCAATTTAGGGATGGTTTCTACATATAAATTTATTTAGTTAATTATTCAAGTATCAAAACTTGAAAGACTTATCATAAATCATGATGTACAATGTTCTAAGCAAGACAAATTTTCGAAGATACGCAAGAAAGAGTTATACCGAATCCCAAGTGCAACGTCGAGTTGACAACACAAACAAAATGTGTTGTCACAAACATCTGTCATCAGAACAGATGCCGCACCACCGACCTCAGCGCGAGGTCCCCGTCTACCCAGTAAGTGAAGAAGTTCGAGAACGACCCGCCAGGACAGGACGACACCATGAGCACCCCCATGGCCTCGTAGGGCGTGAGCTTGAAGGCCCAGGCGAGGGCGGCACCGCACGCCGGCAGGATGATGAACTGTCCTGCCATCCCGATCAGGATACCAACCGGGGGCCAGGCGTGACTGATTACCTGTACGATCATGATTAAGCGCAACGTTTTTAATACGCAATATAGATGAGCAACGTTTAATATCGATGCGCAATAGTAAGATGTAATTGCTAGCTAACAGCTATCCACGCTCACTAACTTTCCTCCAGTCCGTAGCTGAGCCCATGCCCAGCATGAGGTTAACGGTGTTCGATGCCATAATTATTGTAGCAGCGAAGTCAAGGGTTTTCTTCCACTGAGGCCAACTAGGTTCATTAAAACATTCAGCGTCTTCTGTATTGTTGGTACAATTGTCGTACATGGACGTGGTATTGACAGAGTAGAGGTTTTCATGTGATGCTAGGCTAGCAGAGGACGTGCGTAGCGAAAAGTTTGCCGTTACAAGCGCGATCTTGCTCAGCAGTATTGCTGCGACCGGCACACTTCGCTGCATAATGATCATTTAAGCTATTGATATGGGTAGTTAATCCCGAAATATGAATTTTAAAATATGGATTTTGATTCTATTGCTGCATAAGGTATCGTTAACATAAAGTTTCTGGAAAGTTTCTGCTGGAAAAATTAAAAAAACATCAGTTAAATATTGTACAAGCGATAGATGTGCATCATGAAATATTATTATTCTTTACATATTATTATTCTTAGAAGGAACATCAATCATCAACCAAAGGGCAGCATTGAAGTTTCTGCTTCAGTTATTTAAGTTCATCACTTATGAATGCGAGATCAACTCTAAACCAGAACATGTGGGTATTATGTATGTATTCTATTTTTGTGGGTATAATAATGTATTATATTTTGGCATCGAGCCTTTAAAGTGCGAGTGCTCTAGTCTAGGTGGCGCTTAATATTGACGCCTGCCACAAGAGTTATGTCGCGGAAGAGAGAAGCGGTGAAATAATCCATTCCCTTTCATATATACGTACTGCATTACGAACATGCACATGCAAGAGGGGCAAAAGCGCCCAAAAACATTTGCACACCTATAATGAACTACGCAACAGAATAATGCTACATAAGTCGCATGAGCAAGAAAGCGGTGTTTGTATTTACATGTCGTCTTGGCCGTGTCGATTTCAGAACATAGACAATATTATTGTTCTAATATTCTTTATTCTGCGTCGACTCTGAATTGTATCCAGCTCCAGATACTGTCGATTATAGTGTTTCTACTGAGCCGCACTTGTCACTCAGTGCGGGGAGTAACATTTCTTGTGTTTGAAGGAACAGGAGCGAACCACATTCTCCACCGCACATCATTTACTCTAAAAAGCCTTCATGTGCTACAATTCATCAAGCTCATTAAGAACCGACATAAGATTATTCCCACATTCCTGCTCATGCATACAAATATTGGAGAACTCTCTTACTACCTTTCAAAGTACTATGCGATCAATTCATGTAAGCACTAAACATCAAGCTTGTAGGTCTAGAAAGCCGAGTTTAGTTCTACTTTATAGCGTAGGCTTCTACAGGATCAAACCCAAAACTGAAAATCAGGTAAAAGCCACCCATGAATATTATCCCACAACCACAACCTTATATCCATTAAAATTTTTAGTCATGCATGTGGGCCGTGGTTTATCTTTCCTAAATTTATTTCAATTGTAAAAAGGGTAGAAAGGCATATTTTCTTGAATATTTACAAAAAAGTATACACAAAAATATAATAACCTATGCAAGCAGGCAGCGGCCCTGAATTATTGGTTCACCGTACTGGGCCAGACTGTATATTGGAAATGTACAGTCAGACTGTATATTGGAAATATACAGTCTTCTTTTCCAGAAGTAAAGGTATAACATGCCATTTTCGGTCTCATTAGAAATTTCACTGAAGAATTTAGCTGGCTACATGTGTGTTTTAGCTCATTCAACAATTGTGAATTGTGCTCATTTTCTCAGTCAAGATACTCTAAATAAGAGTCCTACTGAAGTGCAAGAGCCGCCAGTGCCCAATTAAAAGCCAGTCCGGCATCTATTTTATATTAAAATATTACCTCCAAATCTGAACATATCAATAATGTTAATTTATTTTTCTGTCACAGTAAGATGAATTATAAAAACTTTATGCCTCACTGAATGTCCTTTGTCTATCTCATGTAATTTACCAACGGTTTCAATGGCTGAGGTACAGCAATTATGTGCACTGGCTGCCTTAAATTTCATGATTCAGCTCGTCAGTGATGATCGTACCACCAGGGCAAGATTTGATGATCGTACTTTATAACCACATACAGTAAAATAAGCGATGAAGAATAAACTATGAAATTATACTTTTTGGGGAGCACGAACAACACCGAATGGTATCAAACCGCTGTACATTTCTTTACAATGACTGTTAATACCGCTACATGAGTGGTTGCCACCTAAGGGCAACAATGACAACTATAAAGCCTATGAATGTTTAACGTGCGCTTAATCACTATTGCATCATAATTTCAACTTATTATATTAGTAATTTCAAAACAATTGGCTAAATATTAAAATATTTTCACCGAAAATATTATCTCGGCCTGAAATAATGTCTTTACACGTGTTAAATATAAACTTGCCTGTAAATTCAGCTTTTAAGTACTAGTGTGTACTGATCTAATCCACCGAATGGCATTGCCTGAGCAAAAGTTTTACCCATATTACACGACAATGGCGTACGAACGGTTTTGGAGTGATTCATTTGATATATTCCTGCTATCTCGTCACATTGGTCGTCTAGTCTTGACGCTGTATAGCTGTCTCCATACTGGTGTGGATAAACATATAAAAAAATTTGAATTATTACTGGAACGACATTGTTATGTTAAACACTAACGTTATATCTCAATAACTTAGATTTGATAGATCTTTCGGAGTAAATTGATGATGAAAATTCGATCAACGTACACCAATCTAACATCAACATTGTTTTAATGTGGATTTCCAGTGGCTGCTTGTCATATTCTGTATTAATAACTTCTCAAGTGTGATTTGATTTAAAATATTCTGGTTGACGAACATTACAACTGACAACAAACCGCAATCGAAAATTTTTTTCAACATTTTGTTCCTCCGGGGTGTGGTACACTTCTTTTAGCGTGCGTAAATCTTCAATGCTGCTAAAGCGGATTTTCAACTTCTTTACGTCAACAAAACCTTTGATCGTTTTGACATTTAATGAACTGATACAAAATGGTTTCACAAAAAAAAAATCGATGAGCCTAACTGAAAAAGATTCTTGATAAATATGCCGAACAGATTACGTACTCGTTTGCATATTCAAATTTTGATTCACTTCGTTCTCTTCTGCGTGTCGGTCGCTTTTTTCAAGGGCTAAATGGACGAAGGACTTTTTGGAGCGAGTGACGTACAACAATTCGCCTCTAAACATTTTCGCCTTAAGTAATTTTTCAGTAATTGATTGCTACCCAACGAATTGTGTGCTTGAATGCTTAAATTATTTTAAAATCTGATAAACGCGTCATTCTGCAGAGCGATTTAAATTAAGTATTTACACCTCTTCCCTTCTTTTGGACAACAGCGCCTAATGAAAAATCCACTGTTTTAATTCACGTATACCTAGCATTCTGATGATTTAAGAAAGATCCTCACGCAACATCGGGAACTATGTATCGTAAAATGATCACATGGCCTTAATGACCTCATAGAGTGAAGCTTCGAATTGCTATGCGAATGGCAAGTTTCTCTATCTTAATAGACTTCTGCATTTAAATCAAGTGCAACGTGGAACAAGTGATGCACTCATAAGTCATGTTCTTTCATTCTAAAGTAACCTCAAATTATTTTCTAATTTACATTAATTAATCGTAATATGGAACTTGCTTGGAAAATTTATAATACATAACAAGAAGACGTTAAATGTATACAAACAAAGAAAACCTAATTTACAGTTCAGAATAATTCTATCTTCCTGATACTTTTTCGTGCTCTTGAGAAAAGTTTCTTTGCCATGCGAACAAATTTTGGTGTGGGAACTTTTAATAGAACGTTTTTTTCCTAAAATGTCAACAAATCAAAAATACTACATCACAATGACTTTTACCCCGTTTGATCCCAACAATTACTTGCACGAATTATAAAATATAGCTAAGAATCACATGACTGTATTCACTGAGCTCCAGTTCATGTCACTCCGTATAATGAACGACGGCCGGGTCACGCTCAGTGATTAAGGGGGGATCCGGCCACTAATGAGAGGAAAGCCATGCTCAGGTGTACTGCAACCTGCGGTTAATTGCTATTAGCTTGCAACACTTGTGTAAAGAACACAAGCGTTGCATAGAATAGAAGCCTGGGAAACAAGGATGAGCGTTTGAGATCAGCCATGAAAAGTGGAATAAAAAGATATTCAGAATTTCACTCCAGTTTAGTTACCCATTACCAGACATAAAGTACGGTTTTGTCTCACTCGCGCTGAGACGCCGGCATCACCGCATTTCAGTCATTCACTGAAGACTGTATTGGAACGAGCCGTGCAGTGTGAGTTATTACACGGCTCGAGTTGAAGGGGATAATTAAAAATATACGGATTTTTTCCAAGCATACAGACGAACGTCATAATTACTTGATACATTTACAGTTTAAGGTGTATTTAACATATAAAATTAGCACGTTTGACTCCACTAAAGTATATCATGAGTAGTTTCTGGTTGAATGCAATAATTAGAACAAAAAATGGAGTTCATTGGAAAATCGACATTTCTGCAGGATGTGATTCGTTCACGGCTAAGCTTTGCCCAATACAAGATATCGAAACTTAACCTCTTTGTTTCTGCGCCACGCATTACTTCGTCAATTATGTACCAATTTAATAGAATTTCTTCACAAATCATAGGTATTTAAATTTACATAAAAAATCAATTTCAGGTTTACTCATTTAATTTAGTCAGAAAAAAATGCGAGTGCTGCATATTATCATTATAATACCCTAGGTATGAACTATATTTTAGATAAAGATTTTCAAAATTTGCAAAAAGAATAATGACTAAAATTTCAATATGATGTTATATCCTGCATGCAATTGTCATGAGAAACTCTCAATTAGCTGTATTAGACTGTAACGTCTCCTTTTCATGTCGATTTTCAAGATGGAAGGTCCTGATGTTGGTTCACTGGTGGTATATCCACCTGGCAGTTCGTTGGCATCCGCGCTGCTTGCAGAGTTATGTGTCTGCAATGTTCGTAGCACATCGATCCTGATCGATTCGCATCCGCATACAACGCAATGCGTGCGACGCTTCGGATTTCACTGATAGGTTTGGTGAATTGATAATGTTCGTAGTACATCGATCCTGATCTATTCGCATCCGCATACAACGCAATGCGTGCGACGCTTCGGATTTCACTGATAGGTTTGGTGAATTGATCTAGTTTTTTGTTGCAGTCTCCTTCCCCTTCAAGTTCATCTAATTATTCGATTCGTACATTTTGACGAAAGGAATCTTTCAGCTTCGTCGCCAGTCCAACAATATCTATTATCAGACGTTCGGTGGTATTTTTCATCTGCTAAAATTCTCGTCAATTCTCCTGAAGCGATGTCTACCAGCGCTGTCTTTTGAATGCCTGCTGATCTTGATCATCAAATTGTCATGGCTGTTGTGGATTGTCCGAGTCCAAGGACTGCAGTAACTTGTCCCAACTTATCATCATATAATTTCCTGGAGAGAAATAACGAAGGTCCAATTTGTCGGTCAGGAGGCAGCAATCCTCGGATGAACAATTAAAAAAATGCCTTGTAGTCAATTGAATTGTGGGCGTTCCTTACTTACTTACGCGGCAATTCGTGTCGGTATTGCATTTACAAGTTTTGAAATCTTCCAAATATTTTTGTTCAGCTCATATGAAAAATTATTAATTTATAATTCGCAAATAAATTAAAATTATGGGACTCTCCTCAAGAAGCAATTTTCTTCTTCTGGAAAGTCCATTTTAAAGCAGGACTTACAGTATGATGCACGAAATAACAAAAAATGTTCATTATCTACTATGCTCTTTCTTAAATGAAAGTAAAAAATTTTATTTGAAAGGTAATCTTAACTTTGGTCGCGTTACGTTTGAATGCTACGTGGTTCCTGCATGCATGCGTGTCGGCATTTTCTAGTCGAGGTGTAATTGTGAAACTGGAGAGCTAATTTTTTCTTTATAATTATTTTATGGCATCCTCTACTTGACTACTTGATATACAAAATTTATTTTTGTAATGACCAGCATGCTACATTCAATACCTTCAGCTTAATGAATTTTCGTGTGAAAGATATTATGGTTTTAATTAAGTGCAACGACATTCAATTCATATTTACATCATTGTTAATCGTAACCAATGTTAGGAGATGCAATCCCGTTGCGCCCTACAGTCACCTACACAACCTTTGTCCTGTATTAATAACCTTAAATTTAAGTTAAATTTGAATTTTAAGTATTCATGTATTTACTCATTAGACCAGTGGTCTCCAAACTATGGCCCGCGGGCCACATCCGGCCCGCTACACAATTTCATCCGGCCCGCGGCCCGCCGGATGAAATAGTGAAATGAATAAATAATTATTGTACGAATGGCATCGCAAAAATATTCAAAGCTGGGGCCTGCTGACTAGTGGCGCTCAGCACGAGTCAGTTTTCCTCTCTCTCGATAGTGTGACGTACAGATACTAGTGCTGGTAGCCGGTAGGTATGTGTTGTTCATTACAACCAATCAGTTGTGTATAACTGTATATTGTGGGGATGGTGGCCGAGTGGGGCTTCGCTGCTTCAGTTTCACGGAGCACAGCTCTTTCATAATCCATTTGACTGCAATGCTGAAAATCTTCCAACTCAATTTCAAAAGGAAATTATTGATCTCCGGGCAGATGACAGCCTGAAGGATAAGTATCGAGAAGGAAATCTGATTGACTTCTATAAATGCCGGCAGCCAGATCAGTTTCCAAATTAGATAAAGTTTGCTTGTAGTTTTGTGTCCATTTTTGGTTCAACATACTTGTGTGAACAAACATTTTCCAAAATGAAGTATGTGAAATCTAACTATCAAGCAAATTTGTCTGATGATCACTTGAAATCAATTCTTACAATTGGCTAATCTAATCTGAAACAGGATTTTGATGAAATTTTGAAGTCAAAACGACAGCATCATTCGTCACTCTAATTTGGTTAAATAAAACTAAAGACAGGCATCTATTTAGTTTACCCTGATTTTTTACAAAAATATATGTTTTAAATTTTCCATGGTTATACCTTAATATTTAGGTAAACAAAATTACTGGCACTGATTTTTTATTCATTCGGCCCGCATCAATATTGGAAATATATAATGTGGCCCTCACTGTGAAAAGTTTGGAGACCCCTGCATTAGACGGATACTATTCAAGTCCTTATATGTTGAGATATTATTATATCGACGACCTCTCAACGGAGTGAAATGCAGAAAATTAAATTTAAAATATTTTTTAGAGATTAAGACATTTTAATTCGGTCTGATTTTGGCACGTTTTTGCAACCAAACACAATCTTGCTTAATATTCGGTATATTCTATTCTGGGGATATGTGATGAAATAAAAATAATCATGAGTAATTACGCGTACGTCGTCAAGCCCTCATCACTTTTGAGGCACAGAAAAATCAAATTAGTTAACAGGTATTTTTTTCTTTTTTATTCATCCATCGAACAAGCTTTCTGAAAACAGAAAGAAAGGAACACTAATATGCATAGCAAATATATAAATTATACTTAATGAGTTAATTTTTAAGTATTCACAAGTTATTCTACATGAGCTCAGTTCTTACCTATTACATAGTTCTGTACGAGGGGTTACATCAGTCGCTTATCACGTGTTATAACCACAAGTTATGAGCAACGGAGCCTCTATCTACGTCTGCTTATGCATAGAAATTTCTCAAAAATTTGTACTGAGCCTAGGTTTTCTTCGAAAAAGTGTATTAGCTATAGCTTACACGGTACAAAGCTAAAGTCTACACGTCAAAAGAAAATATTGTGATTTCGATTCAGCAATTAGTGTAGACATACGGCATTGAATGCAATTACGCACGGAAAATATTTTAGTTCCACATTTTAGGAGACATTACTCTTATGAGAATATTCAACGCTATTTAATGAGTTTGAGAAGAAAAATCTAATAGAAAAAGTCCATCAATACAGTTGTTTTGTTTTAATGATTCGATTTTTTAGCTTCTATTTTTTACGAATTTAGACAAATTTCTATATAGACGACAAATTCTTTTGTGATGACAATCACCTTCTGACATAAGTTAATCGGTTGTTTCCACAGCGGCGAGCAGAGATCCCTTATCCCGAGAAAAGGTTGCTTTCTAAGCGTACTGTAAAGTGCGCCTAACAGTTTATAGTATCAACGTTGAAGTTTTATATTAAAATGAAGAGCTCTGTGTGAAGCTGCGCGGATCTTGTCTACCGGAAGAGGACTTCACGAGAGCAGCTGTGTGCGCCACGGGCAGATATTCGTCGTCAGGTTTCTGTCGACATCTTCTCCACATGTGGAACAGTCCGATGCCAGTGAACATTTCTATCAGTAGAGTTGTTCCATACAACGTAGGAAAAACGATCATACTCGCCTTTACCTGAAAAATTTACTGTTTATGGACGATTTAATATATAGTACGTGCGTTAAAATGCATACTTCAGAGAAGAAACGATTGAAAATGTTTTTTAGGAAGGCAAAGGTTTTTATAAGAATTTATTGATAGAAGTTCAATTTATCTTAATTGTTAGTAGAGAATCAAATTCTATTCCCAAAATTATTGAAATAAAACATGCACCTTTTATTTTTTCAGGACTCCAGGTAATAGCCACACAACAAAGGTAGTTTTGTGAACAATGAGACTTACTTTTGGGTCCTGGAATGACATCAAAATCACGCTGAGAGCAACCGCCATGTTTTGGGATCCTGTTTCTATGCCAATAGTTCTGCAAACTTTATGAGTCTGAAAAGGATGAAAAAGTAAATTATGGGATTTTATATCCTATATTAGATTTAATCATCCACCGAATGCCATATAAAATTGAGCAAACATAATAATACTGGTCCAAAAATCTCGTTGGACATCACACTACTAACATTTATCGTTAGCCATCCGATGCCTTACTTACGTAGATTTAGAGTATTTTAGACGATGCTTAGATTTGACTTGAACGATGCGTACATAGATTTAAACAGGTGCGACTGGATTCACACATGCAGTATAGAGATGAACATGTAAATTGCCAGACAAACCGTTCACTCACATAACATAATATTTTATATTCGCTTAAGGGGGCGTATACATACCCTTAAGAAAAACTTCCACATTTACTAACGGATCTTTCTGAAACTTCACACATATATGTAATACCAAAATACAATAACATTTTGTTCGAATGATTTTTTCGGAAGAATTAATCGAAAACGTGAAATTCATAGAAAACGGACAGAAAAGGGGGTACTGTAGAAATCTATCTCCTCTTAGGGTTTTCAAGCTACAACATTGAGACGCATATTATTCGATGCGTAAAGATCATACCAATCGAGTAACGAAGCCCGATTTCTGATTTTTGCCTTAGTTTTTTTTACACGCATTTTTCCGTTTCTTCTCATTTTCTTCAAATTTTCCCCCCTCCCTCATTTTGAATCCAAACTATACACAAATCTAAAAAAGGGCTTCGTTACACGATAGGTATGGTCTTTACGAATCGAATGATATATGTCTCATCGCTGTAGCTTCAAAACTCTAGGAGGAGATAGGTTTTCCGTGACAATAAATGAATGTTCAGGAGAGCGCGACAAAGTCCCGCCCGCATCGCAATCGGCACTCAATGTAGCAAGGATACGAAACTAAACGTTTCTGGAGCTTGATTCCACTCAAGGATGGTGGGAGCGACTATATACATGCGCGCCTCATACAAACGCCAGGCGGGTTACTAACTTACTGAGCTGCACCTCAAGCAAACACTGTATTTATAGTGCTCGGCAGCAAATTAGCTCCTATCTAATTTGTTAAAGAACTCCCCCCCCCGCCCCCTTTCATGATCTGTCGTGAACGCATAAATCAACGTAAAGCGATGATAATAGTACCGTTGGATAAGGCAGAATGTCAGCTTTAAGATGAGACTAAACGGATAACTGAAGCGCAATTCAAGTAGACACTATATTTAAAGTGCTCAGCAGCTAATTAACTCCTATCTAATATGTTAAAGAACTCCCCCACCCGCCCCCCTTTCAAGATCTGCCGTGAAAGCATAAATCAACGTACAGAGATGGCAATGGTACCGTTTGATAGGGCAGAATGTCAGCTTTAAGATGAGACTAGAAACCGAAAAGCCAAATTCAAAAATTTTTGGTTATACCCCCCCTTAAGTAGCGCAATATATACGACCTCGCCGTAAATTTAATCACCCTGCCTTAATTTAATCCTGCACTGCCTTTTCTCACCCTGCACATGAGACGAGCAAATACATAAGCCAAAGAGAAGCCCAGGAATGGGAGGATGAAGGAGCAGGCGTAGAGCAGAGGAGTGGCGGCAGCGAACACCGACCAGTACAAGATGCCCCAGATGACTGAGGCAGATATTACCCCCACCCATCCAATGATGCTCGAAATCTGATAAATTGAATGAAACAAAGCGTTAATACCTTCAGATTCGAGAAGAAGTTGGTGTGGAGGTGAAAATATTGACAGAGAATTTCAGGGAGACTATGAATTCTTAGCATTGCGTTCAGAAAATTGTGAGTGCATTCAAAACATTAAAATTATTCCGTTGCACAATTCATTAAAGTAAGAAGGCACTCAAACAAAAAGAGAGGGTTGAATGATTGTAGGTCTTACCTTTGTAACAATTGAGGCTATTCTCGGACGATAGTGTCTAATCACCATACCGACTGCCACCGGCGCAGTAATGAAGACTAAAGTTTTCATGATGGTCGCGTACGGTATGATTATAAATTTTCGAAGATACGCAAGCTAGAATTAAAGAGCTGTACCGAATCCTAACTGCAACGTCGAGCTGAAAACACAAATATTTTGCATCTCCCATCACAACAGATGCCGCACCACCGACCTGAGCGCGAGGTCTCCGTCTACCCAGTAAGTGAAGAAGTTCGAGAAGGACCCGCCAGGGCATGACGACACCATGAGCACCCCCATGGCCTCGTAGGGCGTGAGCTTGAAGGCCCAGGCGAGGGTGGCACCGCACGCCGGCAGGATGACGAACTGTCCTGCCATCCCGATCAGGATACCAACCGGGGGCCAGGCGTGACTGATTACCTGTACGATCATGATTATCTTTATAATTTAACTCAAAGTATTTGCTATTATAAGGAATAATAGGCAGAGAAAACAATATTTTAAGGTTTAATGGTAGCACGAATTTACTTGAATTTAGGTATTGAATTGTACATAAATTCATAACCTCTAATAATGCTACATTAGAAAAAAATTGTCGGACTCTGATGAACATTTCTGTTTTTAATTATAGATGCGCAACGTTTTTAATACGCAATATAGATGAGCAACGTTTAATATCGATGCGCAATAGTAAGATGTAATTGCTAGCTAACAGCTATCCACGCTCACTAACTTTCCTCCAGTCCGTAGCTGAGCCCATGCCCAGCATGAGGTTGACGGTGTTCGATGCCATAATTACTGTAGCAGCGAAGTCAAGGGTTTTCTTCCACTGAGGCCAGCTAGGTTCATTAAAACATTCAGCGTCTTCTGTATTGTTGGTACAATTGTCGTACATGGACGTGGTATTGACGGAGTAGAGGTTTTCATGTGACGCTAGGCTAGCAGAGGGCGTGCGTAGCGAAAAGTTTGCCATTACAAGCGCGATCTTGCTCAGCAGTATTGCTGCGACCGGCACACTTCGCTGCATAATGATCATCTAAACTGCTGATATGGGTAGTGAATATGGATTGTAAAATATGGATTTTGATTCTATTGCTGCATTAGGTATCGTCAGCATAAAGTTGCTGGAAAGTTTTTGCAGGATAAACTCTAATAACATCACTTACATATTGTACAAGCGATAGATTAGCATCATGAAATATTATTATTGTTCACATATTATTCTTAGAAGGAACATCAATCATCAATAAGGAGGCAGCACTGAAGTGTTTATGCTTGTCATTTAAGTTCATCACTTATGAGTGCGAGATCAACTCTAAACCAGAACGAGTGGGACACTAATGTAATATATTTTTGCATCGAGCCTTTAAAGTACGAGTCCTCCAGATCTTGATAACGAAGGCCTCCAGAAGTATTATGTCGCCAAGAGATTGGCTGACACAGGCTGATAGTACCAATTAGTAGCGATAATAAATAATCCTGACCGGGGCTCGTGTATTCGACATCACAGAGCACTGATTGCGCTTCGCCTCCTACAAATTCCCTCTAAACGTTGTGAACATTTTTCCTGAGAAAATGTGTCAGAGTATAAGTAAAATATATTGACAGTAAATCAAGCACTACAATTTTTTAATTGAATCACGGCAAAATGAAACCTCGCAACAAAGAATACAATCTCTTACCTGGATCTCGTCACTAATGATGGAATACTGTAATTTTCGCATTCAAGTGTACTCATGAGCTCTCAAAATTTTCGAATAATTACATAAGCACTTTTTCTTTATACAATTTATTAAAATCTCCTCAAACCGACATGTAATGACTTATCGTGCTCCTTACAAATTTAAATCCATTGTCAAATGTGGGAAATAGTAAAATAGTTTCGGCTCCGTGTTACGATACCTTGATTCTCAATTTAAAAATGAAATAGTTTGTATGACAACACAAGAAGTGTGAGTTAGTAAAATATGAGTTAGCTTTTATAATTATGCCTTGTTACCCATGGCGAGTATATATCGTTTCAATACGCAGCGTACAGATCTGTTCGAGATATAAGTTGTATTAAGATGTAAAATATTTCGTTGAAGAGGCTGTTTCCCCGTAATATTTCATCCCGGAAATCGCACGCGATTATTTTCATCGTAACATATAAAAATGTTATTTGTAGTTGTAAGGGATTGCGGTAGGACTTCAAATTTGTTATTTTACTATTGAATCACCACTGATGTGACCTTATGAATAGTTTCTAGTTGTCATTGTGTTCCCTGACTTCACCAATGAGGTGTCACTGTTTCATTACTAGTTCTGTATATAAACGAGTATATATGTATTAAGAGCATATAAATTTCGCGGTATTTGAATAGCTACCATCATGAATTTATTTTATATAAACTTCATTTGAGCAGTATTCCGTTTTATATTATGATTTTTAGTTAATTTATCACTAGTTATAAATTCTGGTTTGCTTTCTCTTGTTATTTGTTATATTATTTAATTATTTACTACAGAAAGGCTCCGAATTTAGGACGAGGGATAGGGGAATACACGGTTTATATTTTTGCATGTGTAGTTCGTTCATCATTACAGTTTCCGTTGACATTAACATTTCGAAATTCATGGAAAATTAAATCAAATTCACGATTTCACCTTCGCCGACTGAAGTGGATTACGAGTATGACACTCAAAGTTCTAGTGTTATAAAATATAAGCTAAATTCGCCAAACGAATCATTAAAATAATTTTCACTAAACCCAAAATGAGGGAGTGATTCAGCGTCCAGAACTATTTTTGGTCCTTCGTTAAATTAAAAATAATCCAAATGAGAAATAAGTAATATATAATTTTCCAATGAAAAAATTGCTGTGAACGAAACATATTATATTTATTATTTGATTAGTTCCGTGATTTAGCAATTAGATATAACTTCACTCGAGAACCTTAATACTTGTATACTAAGTACCCGAAACATATAAGCGTATAAATATCATCTTGCAAAGTAACATAATGAATATGAATAAACTGTGACTGTATAAATACGTCTACGGATAATTTGTAAACATGAATACGACGATAATATAGAATTAAATTTCTGGATCAGAGAAATCCTCTAAACAAACTCGTCATTCATTCATGTCCTCAAAACCTATGTTCTATTATTGGCCAAACGCTACTATATAGGGGAAAATCATTTCCGCGTCATAAATATTTGCATGTGCACATATATTGCGTGTCAGTATTTTGAATAATAAAAAGTTAAGCTAATATTTTGTACTTTCAACTTGTTAAACATGAATTGAATGTTATTTTTCCGTGAATTTATTTACATACATTATTTCAACAGTTGTCTCGAAAGTATTTCATAAGGATTTAAAAAAATCATCTTTTGGATTCACATGAAATGCAAGGCGCTGAAGCATTTGGTTTGTTAGGAGAAAGTTGTGACGTGCAAAAGACGGTTTCTTGAGTCACGGGAAGGTAATCTTCTTCTTCTCTTATATTGTGCTTCTTCCATGAGAGATATAATAAGATTCCGATGAACATTTCGGCCATCAAGGTTATGTAGTACAAGGTAGGAAAGATGATCATGCTCGATTTTATCTGAAAATATTTTCGGTAATTGTTATAAAAAATTGCAGCGAAATCATTGCTTCAAATCATTATTTTGATATCAAAATAACAGGAAATACCAGGAAGATATTCATTCGATTGCGATCAACAATTATTCATCAATAGCGACCCTAATCGTAGCTATAGGGTGGTCATAGTGGCTTGATATGCAACTAAAGAAATTAAAGCTACCAAGTATATTTTTTGAAAAATTACAAACGGCTGAAACTTTTGGACCTTAGAAGTATATTAAAAGAGAGTGAATCTCATAAAAAGAGCATTCAAATGCAGTTATTTACTGGTTATTGCTTTTATACTTTTATTAGTTACGCAGATCTTGGTAGTTATTGCACTAACCTATGCCAGTTATTTAGCATTGCATAGTTATTGTGCCATAACTACCTGTAGTAGTTATATATCACTTAGTAGTTATGTACTTACCTTTGGGTCTTTGTAAGATAACAAAATGACGCTAAGAGCTACTGCCATATTTTGTGACCCGGTTTCTATCCCAATTGTTCTGCAAACTTGATGAGTCTGGGTAAAAGATGAGGATCTGGATAAGTCTGGATAGCTTAGCTACAAAAATTTTTAGTAGTTCAAGTTTATTGAAGAAACTTTTTATATTCAAAAGATACCGTGAATGTGTTGCACTTACCCTGCACGCCAGAAGGGCAAATGCGTAAGCAAAAGAGAAGCCTAAAATTGGTAGGATGAAAGCGCAGGCGTAGATCAGCGGAGTTGCGTTTGCAAACACTGGCCAGTAGAGCGTAAACCAAACGATGTTGATGAATATCACTCCAAGCCAGCCCAGGATGCCAGTGAACTGCGAAAAATTTAAGAAATTGAGCTTGAATTTATTCAGGCATCAGCTGGACACCACACAAATTAATTGAAAAGAAACATATGCTTGGTTTTAATGGAGAAACGTTACGAAACGAAGCCAAAAGAATTTTAAGATTGATCTGTGAATGTAAAATGATTTCTGTTTATAAAACTCAAGCACTTTACTTAAAATTTTGCAAGATGTGCAGTTTAGAAATTTTCTTACATTAGTGATGACACCGGCCAGCTTCTGATGACAACGCCTGATGATCATACCGATGGCGACCGGTACCGCAATGAAGAACAGAGTCTGCAGGATGGTCCAGTAAGGGATGACGATGAGGGAGTTCTCGTCAGCGTCCATCCAAATTTTAGAATACAACCATAAATTGAATGGCATGCCCACGTATGCCAGCACGGAAGAAACTGTCGTCATCATGATGCTGAGGGAGAAAATTAAATGAGAAATTAAATTTAATAAATTAAACCACGAGAAAATTAAATGGAAACATTTTTTCGCGAGACTATCATCCATGTGGATTCGAATTTAGGTTTAAAATTGATTAAAAATTTCATAAAATTAAGTGTTGGTCTTATTAACCTGAGAGCAAGATCTCCATCAACCCAATATGCAAAAAAATTCGAGAGTGAGCCGCCAGGACAGGACGACACCATGAGCACCCCCATGGCCTCGTAGGGTGTGAGCTTGAAGGCCCAGGCGAGGGCGGCACCGCACGCTGGCAGGATGATGAACTGTCCTGCCATCCCGATCAGGATACCAACCGGGGGCCAGGATGCATGTCCGAGCACCTGCACGGTTAAGGAAAAAAGATTACGTTTTTAATTCAAATTATTTTCCGGCTTTTTGGATGGTTTCAGATTCACTCTTCAATGGCACGATCATAACTGCAAGCATGGTGGTCTTTGCAAATAATGAAAAATTTCATGTGAGGATGAGAAGTAGCAGCTTCGGAGGGTCATTTTCGTTTTATCTGAACTATCATCGGGTTTTTAACTATAAGGAATTAGGTGAATACATGATTTATATAAATATTTACTTCTGCATATATATGACATAAATTTTGACATCGATTGTTTTAAGTGTCTAGAGACATATTATTGTTTGCGAAGAAATATTATATATTTTTGGCTTATAATAATGCATATGTACTAATTAACGCATAACAGAATTTTCGATTCATTTTATAAGAAATACCATCGTACCTCTCCCCAGTTTGTGGCGGCGCCCATTCCCAGCATGAGGCTGAGGGTGGTCACGGCCATGGAAATCGTGGCCACGGAATCGAGATTCTTCTTCCACTCAGGCCACTCACTGAATTTATAAGGGTCATCTTGATCCAAGCCTTCAGTGCCGTTCACTGTTATTTCATTGGAGGAATTTGTCGCGAGCCATGATGAGTCTGCAGGCGCGGACCAGTCGTCATGCAGGACGCCATCCGCCAACGCCAGTCCGAATATTATGCAGAGGAGCATCGCTCTCTGGAGACTTCGGCGATCAATTACCACCTCCATTTCCAATGTATACTCTCTTGTGGGCCCGCAATATACTTTATTCTTGGACGAAACAAATTTGGAAACTCCCACTTTCTTGGGTGGTCATCCGAAACTTCAATTTCCGGAATTTCAGTAAAAAAAGAAAAAAATCTCATCTAAATTTTTAACCTCTTCTGGTCTCTCCACATTTTGATGTCTCATTGAAGATTGCTCGAGGCCAAATGAAACATAAGATAAAGTCGTAGGCTTTCCGCCCTATCCAATTAGTAGCCCTAGTTTAGGTTCCTGATAATGATGCCCGTATATCGTCGGTCTGAGATTAGCCGACAAATATCTGACAACCTAGTTTGAAATAAAGCATCTACGCGCAGTCATCTACACCCACGAAAAAATTCCCAGAAAAATGTTTATGCTTCTTTGTACAAGCAATATCGGAGATTAGGACACTCAAGCACTTGGGCCTGATAAGGAACATTTCATATGAGAGAACGAAAATTTTTTGTTATGATCATATACATGAGAATTATATAATATCTGGTAGCAGGTAGTATATTGATATGAACATTTCATATACAAGGGAGTTATGACGAAACTTGAATTTATATTTTATTTCAAACGCTTCTTTAATTGTGCATGGGAACTGACATCTGAACATGGGAAGTTACAATGTGCCTCTAACGCTAATGTTATCACGTGGTGCAGATAATAGAAGCTCAGGTAGCATCTTACACAGTAGTCGAGGCAAATAATATAGCATAATTGTCGCTTTTATGATAATATTATTGAAATGATCTACGTACTCTCGGACTTGTGCAATGAGCGACAAACCTATGATAATGAATGAAATTTTAGGCCGTTAGAGTTAATCTATGCCGAGCAACGCAAGGTGTGCCAATAATAGGAATATTATGGTCATGTGCATCGATTACTCCCTTTGTAGTAAAAGAATAAACTAGTTATTTTCTTGTACACATTTTTTAAAAGTTGATTTATGACTTCATAAAACAACATGAGTAACCGGTTTTCAACATACGCATTATATTCAATTACGTACGCATTATTTACATAATTGCATTACATACGCATTATTTTTCATTACGCATTACGCATTACGCATACGCATTATTGTTCAATTACGCTAGTCAAATTTATTGGGTCACATTTATTTATTCATTTTCTTTTGGCTAATTTTTTAGACGTCGGTCTATTTATATTTATATCGACCGCCTTCATGCACCACTGGTGCACATACGTATATCCGTTCCTCATACGCACAAAATATCACACAATTATTTAGTTTTTTTATTTAAAATATAACGATAAATGTAATAAAACAACCGCGTACCATGTGTGCATCGCAGGTATTGCATTGTATGTAACTAATTGTAAAGCAGTGAACTTCTAATTTTATTCATAAAGTATTTATGTAGAAGTATTAGAGGTTCCCATTAAAAATTCAAGTGATAGTGAAATTCCGTATTTGTCTACGAAAAATTTATTTGTATCGGAGGAGTTGGAAAAACTAATCATTTATTCTTATTGTTCTGTTCGACACCTTGCTATCGACCTCTATAAATTTATCTATGCCTAGAGTCTATTTCTTCAATGGTTTGTGTTGATAGTCGCTAGGAATTGATTACTATATAGGAATGGTTGCAGCGGCCAAATTAAGTAGCTGCAATTTTCAAAATTGTTAAGACTGAATTACAAATTTCCTGTACATCACACAATCAAACATTTCATGTATTTATATTTTAATGAAGTGAAAATTTTTTGAACAGTTTTCCACTTCGACGCTATGCACTATTTTAGAACTATTTTGATTAGGCGTACACCATTTCAATGCCTTTTTTCAATCCAATCTATCATAACTTGTTGAAGATTCTGAAGATTTGGTAGATTTATTCTCAAAACACGACAGAAAAACGGGCCACGTTTAGCTTGGATTGCATTGATTTCCGTGTAAAGGACTGCATCAATAATCCCGCTATTAGTAATTCGCTATAAGGTTTATTTGAATGAATATAAACGATTTGAAAGAGATATGCACACACCGGTAAATTTCTCGGTCAAACAGGTAAACACAGGTCTTATCTATAAGTAAAACTTTAATAAGAGCATACCTCAAGCTTTGGTTTTTTCTTAAAAAAAAAAACGAATTTTCGAATAAACATAGGCGGATTAAAGTCAGTTCGATCGTTTCTCATGCCATCGTTCGTCTGTATGTATTCTGACTAGGTAGTTCACTTACAGTCCTGCTGGAACTCGCCACTAACCTCTCAGGATTAACGTCTTTCACTAGCCTCTTGCCTCGTGGAGGCATGCAAGTGCTGTTGGCAATACTGTGTATCTCATTACTTTCAACCCTTTCCTCAATTATACAGAATATTTCGTTCAATAAGCCAATACTATAGCTCCTTCAAACGTGAAAGTATAGCGAAAAATAACTTTCATTTTCTAAATTCTGTCTCCAACTATTTTTTTTTGTGTTGACACTAGCCAAATAGCTTCCTTTCGAAGAATTTTACGAAGAATTTCCAAAGCTTCCTCTGAGGAACAAAAAATTTAAAAAATGTAAGTGTTATTTCTATTAACCTGAATTATTCAATTGATATTTCATGTTGATTCTTCTGAATAACAGCTTAATGTCACACCTGCAAAAATACCCAATATTATTCTAGTGGTATAATTTGATATAGAGTTTAATAAACAACAATGAACCTATTTTCATAAACAATATCCAATCATAACCGGCCATCTCTTGTAACAACATGCCCAACTGCTTGTGAACAATTTATTCAGTAGACGCAATCGAGACTTCTTAGACAACGCAAATAAGAATTCAAATGTGCTCACAGTTCAGTAGTGTAAGACAAGAATTAATCTGAAATCTCGAAAAGTTAGTGTATGATTAGAATTCATCTGAAATCTCGAAAAGTTAGTGTATGATTAGAATTCATCTGAAATCTCGAAAAATCTCGAAAAGGCTCTCATGCCGGGCCAGGGAAGCTGATATTTATTCGAAAAAAGCGAAGCGCATAATATGGTCGGCAGAGCAACATAAATGTCAAGCACCACTTATGCTCAATAAGTCGACTGATAAGTGCTTGCAAGCGACGAACAATATTAGATTAGCTGCACTCAAAGATGCTCAGTTAATTCAGATGAAAAAATATTCGCAATAAAATAAATAAGAACGCAATAACGATGTTCATTAACAGAAATTATTTATAGGAACTCATTACATTTTCGGCAATTTTGAGCACATAAAATTTCAAAGAAGTGATTTCTGTCGACTGACTTTCACATTTAATGAACAAGGAACCATGAATCCCAAATATTCTGCACACAACAAATTGCATAAAAATGGAATAGTGATATGTCTGAGCAATGCTAACTGACATCTTCAAGGAGCTTATAAAGTCAGTCTCTACTACCTCGTTTGCATTAAATTAAATTCAAGTTCGAAAATTATGCAATTTCGATAGTTGAATACGATAAACTTTGTAGCAAATTTCTGTTCGAGGCTGATTTTACCGGTTGTCTTCGGTTGGAAATGGATGCTTGATCATTCGAATATGAGTAAAATTCCATTTAAGTCCATTTACTGAACTGTTTAACATTTTCCTATCGTGAACTTTACAATATTAAATAAAGAACATCTCAAAAATGAAACAGAAACCTTGATACGATTGTCAGGAGATTGTTCTGCTTCTCTTATTCCGTTATCAGGTAGACAGGTCGATTTGTTGAGTGCATTGACACAAACATTACGTGTCTTACATAACGGTTATATCTTTCGAGTTTCGAATTTCGCACTTGAACAATGCAATTTCAGACGTCGTGTTTTTGTGGAAATTTAAGCAATAAAATATAATAAATGCTGATTGTGGATATTTTGGATTGAAAGTCCATCATTTATTTGCCCTTCGATGAGAGTAAATATGACATCATCTTTGATATAATTAATATAGATCGTGATAATATATCCTTTGATAATATCCTCGGATACGTCAAGTCAATATTGCAAGACTACATTAAAATTAAGCTCAATGAATTAACGTTTAAAATCGAGCATTTAACTTCGGATCATGAATTTAATCGATTTCTTTACTCCTCCCAGCTAGAGCAGGTTAAACCGATAATGCCACGTAATAGCTCAAGCACAAATCTACTATTAAGTTTGTCAAATTATAGTCATTACGGTGTTGAGAAGTGGCAGGTAATTTTGCTTACATGAGTTGCTTTTACAATTTTCCAGCTGTTATTACTTTAACTTTTCGCTTTTGAATGCTCGTCGCTGTACATGAGTTGCGCAGTTACATCTCGTATAATCAACTTGCCAGTTGCTGTGAAATACGTTAATGCATTCAATAAGTAAGGAAATTGGCCTTGACTCGAATATAAATGAGAATTTCTGATCTACTAGACGGACCTAAGATCGACACCTCTTTACGATGATCTCGAGATTGATAAGATCATACGAAGTGTCAAGATGCTGGTGGAATTGCCATGCAGTGGCAGGGTGCCTTCGTTCTAACTTAATTTTTACTTCCAGTCGGAATTAATACCTCAACGGAATCACACTTCGAGAACAAACTTATTGGAAACGCTTCTCGCACTACCGACAAAATTAAGGTACAATCACATTACTATGTCGCTGTCGAAATTTACATTGTGATCAAGCTCTCGGACGTGGTTCAATTCATAACTTAAACCGCCAACTAATGCTGTAAATTATTCCGTGACTTCAGTAAGTAAAATATTTCTCTATTAAATAATATTTCGTCGGGAATGCATGCCCATAAAGTGCAGTGAAACAATTATCATAGCAATAAAAGCCCAAATAAGTGTAACTTTCATAATCAAGGTAAATTTTAGGGATAAAATCGAATAGAAACTAAAATATTCATTTTAATTAAGTTATAATCAACACCTACGGACGATTGTATTCCCTTTTAAAGTGAACAGTGATCGCACGCATCATCATGGACTACTCGAAAGCTACATCCAAGTTTGGCGTGGTTGACTACTGCGTGTTCACGGTGATGCTGGTTGGGTCGCTGGGCATCGGCTTCTTCCACTGCCTCCGTGGCAAGAACACCACGCACGACTTCCTGCTAGCCGGCCGCTCCATGTCGCCCTGGCCAATTGCGCTCTCACTCACCGCCACTTTCATATCGTCCATTTCTATTCTTGGTACGATAATAACTAAAGATTTGTTAATTTTTATTCACAAATTGTAGCCCAAAGTTCTGGCCATCGACTGGCGCAAAGCGGTCTGGCAATGGTCTGTTCTTTTCGCACCATAAAATACGGAAAACTAAATTACACTAAGTTGTCTGGCTTACGAACATTCAGACATTAAATTACAAATTTCAACCATATTTTTTCGATTTAACTTCGATAAAAAAATGTATTCGTTATATTTATTTTGATTTGCGGCAATTTCATATTAAGTGGATTGATGATTTCATCCCCACATGTGCGTGCCCATTTCACTTATCAATGCAATCATTGCGGTGCTCTTTTATTTTTGGTTTCTCAGGTGCCAGTACAAATTTTCCTTCAATCCTTGTACTTAGCTAACTTATTACAAATTATTCAGCTATTTATTATCATAGGAATTAATATGACACTAATTCCTTCTGAATATACACTACTTCTCAGGTTACGTCGGAGAAGTCTATGGTCACGGCATTCAATTGATGTGGAGCTTAGTAGGAAATTTCCTCGGTGTTGTCGTGGCGGCCAAGGTCTTCGCTCCCATCATATACAACATGAAGCTCGAGAGCGTCAATCAGGTACTATACATACTTGCAGTATTTGACATGAGCTCGGAATTTTGGAGTAATATGTTAAAATTATATCTAGTCTAGTGGGAAATGCAAAATCTTAGACAAGTGAAGTTTCTCATGGGCAATTTTATTCATGATTTAATTGACTTATTTAATTGACTGCCTTGAAATAAATTGACGTATCATAATTACAAAGCTTGATGAGTGGGCATGGATATTTTTTTCATTAAAAATACGAAGGTTCTTGTCTCTAATTATTTGGTACAAAATAAATATTTCCGTACAAAACGATCCTGTAATTCAAAATCTTTGCTAAATCTGGATATAATATAAAATACTTTATTTGTTGGTATTCATTCACTGACCGTTTCATTCATGATTGCGCGTGAAATATGATTTTAGGCATTTATTTCTCAGTACCTGGAGCAGCGCTTCGGTTCACCGATGCTGAAGAAGCTTGTGATGAGCACGTCGTCGTTAAGTAGTCTCTTCTACCTGGGCTTGTGTCTGTACGCCCCAACCCTCGCCCTCGAGTCTGTGACACCCTTCTCGTCCAACACTTATATCGTCTTGCTGGGCATGGTGGTCACCGTCTATTCTTCTTGTGTTAGTTATATATTATAAATTGCATATCTTCAAATAAATAAATAAAGTAAGTTAACTTGCTCACAAATTTGTACAACATATTAAATAATTTGACTCCTAGCTTTGTTACTATATTTAGTCTTTAATTATGTTATCTACTGCCACCGAGACGATTTATGAACTACAATAATGATTACTAAATTCAGTCTTCATGTTTGTTCCAACTACCGAGACGATTCATGACCAACGATAATGATTTATAAATTCATTTATGCTCATAAAATTGTTTACAATCCTTGTTAACGACAAAATTTCACTTGTTATCATCCAACGTTGTTACCAGGGCGGCATGAAAGCGGTAGTGTGGACGGACGCCTTCCAGACGCTCATAATCATACTGGGTGTGATCGTGGCGACGATCTGTGCCGTGGTGTTCGCGGGGGGACCAGCGGCCGTGTGGTCCGTAGCCTCTGAGCACGGACGCACCCAAGGCTTAGAGTGAGTTGCAAAATTCACCGATTATAATGATATATATGTGGCTTATAACGTGGTACTTACCGTTTTTAGTGATACATGTGGCTTATAACGTAGTTCTTACCGTTCTTAGTGATACTTGTGGATGATAACGTAGTACGCGGCACGATGATAGAGACAGCAAGATAAAACTAATTGTTTATAATGATATTCATGTGGCTTACAACGTAGTACGAAACACGATGATAGAACCCACAGCGCAAAACTCATTGTTTACAATGATATACATGTGGTTTATAACGTGGTACTCAACATGATAATATATACAGCAACATAAACTCACTGTTGATAACGACATATTATTGGCGTATTACGTAGAAAAGCTTCCGATTTTGCAGCGTTAATGCTTCAATAAAATGACGTTACTTTTTATGTGCAAAAACTTGAACGTGGGAAAATGTGCGGTATAATGAACGTTGAGGCAACTATTGCACCTCTAATAACTGACTTAGATATTATCAATTTCGCTAGCCATGGAACTAAATTCACAAAATACATTATATTTAAAATACATATAATAGTGTGTATTATTATAAATCTATTTACAGTTTTCGTATGGGATTACACGTGCGCCACACGGTATTCAACGTGATAATGATGAGTTTTATGAACTTCCTCGGCCATTTTTCATTCAACTATTGCACCTCTAATAACTGACTTAGATATTATCAATTTCGCTAGCCATGGAACTAAAATCACAAAATATATTATGTTTAAAATACATATAATAGTGTGTATTATTATAAATCTATTTACAGTTTTCGTATGGGACTACACGTACGCCACACGGTATTCAACGTGATAATGATGAGTTTTATGAACTTCCTTGGCCATTTTTCATTCAACCAATCAACCGTTCAACGCTTGGGAACCATGCCTACACTCGACAAAGTTAGCATGTGAGTGCTTTCTATTCCAATGTGCAGTGTGGAAATGAAAATGAGGTAAACCTGATACTAATACAAAATTGTTCATGAAATACCCTCTGTTTTTAATAAAAATTAATTTTATCGAACCAGTCAGAAGGAAATTCACCAAAATATTTTATTTTAGGGTTTTGTACCTGAACCTCTTTGGGCTACTCGCGCTTCAGGCGCTGCTCTTTTTTTGCGGGATGGCGATCTTCGCTGTGTACGCGGGCTGCGATCCTATCACCTTAGGCTTCATCTCGACCAAAGACCAGATCCTGCCATACTACGTGCTCGACTATCTGGGATACCTGCAGGGAGTTCCTGGGCTTTTCGTTGCGTGCCTCATCAGCGGCACAATGAGGTACTTCAGTTGTTGTGGTGATCACGCAGTAAAAATTGCCATTCTAGATGTTAGGCACTAAATATGTAGGGGTTGTTCGTGTGCATGTCAACGATAATTAACGTGGAGGGGTATTGCCTTGACTTGATTTTTTAATGGTGAAATTATGAAATAATATACAGTAGATTGGTAAGTTTGATCGAACGTTTAAATATGATTTTTAATTTGGTCCGCACAAAATTTATTCGAAACTTAAGAATTAAAATTTCATTAATGTTTGAAGAGGTGAATTAAGTAGAGTTTCATGCATCGTGAGGGTTTCAGCCATTTTTTAATTAACATTACTTTAAGTTTATGGGATGCTGAGAAGCGTAAGTAGGACTATAATATGATTTTTTGTGTTTGAATCCTTGTATCGGAAATGTTTACGGAGTCTGTTTATAAATTCAACCAGCATTGCCCACCCCTTGAAGAATACACGGAAATGTGAAATTTTCTGATTCCTTTTGAAATCTTGAAGGATTTCCAAACGGAGGTTAAATGTAATAATTAAGTGTAGTCACTTCCGGATTTATTAAATATTAGTACATGCGTACGAGGCATTCCCCTTAAATTTTATAACGGGATTTCAGTGTGACTACAGGTAAAAAATTTTTTTTGAACGAGTGTTTCTTAATTTGACGATTGATAACTTAATTCGTACATGTCAGGGGGCAATACCGGGTTCACCCACTATATAATATGAGATATTTATGCGAACATTAAGTTCATTTCTAATTTCACTAATTTTCTCAGTTACATCGTTTTGGACAATACAATGAGTATGAGTAACTTGTATGTAACTGATTGGAATATAGATTATAAATGCCATATCTTGATAGTCCAATTACAAGCTCCGACTTATCTTAAATTTACAGTCCAATTACAAGCTCCGACTTATCTTGACAGTTCAATTATAAGCTCTGACTTATCTTAACAGTCCAATTACAAGCTCCGATTTATCTCAACAGTCAAATTACAAGCTCCGATTTACCATGACAGTCCAATTACAAGCTCCGATTTATCTCAACAGTCAAATTACAAGCTCCGACTTATCTTAACAGTCCAATTACAAGCTCCGACTTACCATGACAGTCCAATTACAAGCTCCGACTTACCATGACAGTCCAATTACAAGCTCCGACTTACCATGGCAGTCCAATTACAAGCTCCGACTTATCTTGACAGTCCAATTATATGCTCCGACTTATCTTGATAGGTCCCATTACAAGCTGCGCCGTATCTTGACACCCATTGACAGCAACGCCATATGTTGATAGTCCCATTGACAGCTGTGCTTTATCCATACAGTCACGTTGAAAGCTATGCTATATCATCTCAGTCCCATTGAAAGCTGTGCCTTATCTGCACAGTACGTTCAATTGGAAGCTATGTCATAGCTTGAACTAACTGAGCCTTCCGTCTTTCCCAGTTCGATTTCATCTCAGCTGAACACCGTACCGACGATGCTCTGGATTGATTTCCTATCCCAAATCGAATATTTCAAGCAAGCGCCTCAACGAATACAAACACTCGCTACAAAAATCCTAAGTAGGTATATGGTGCTAAACGAATGATGTACAATTAGAAAAAACTTCCAAAGATGGCTTCATTTACGTGATTTTGCTACTAATGAAAACTTTATTTCTATCGAAGCTCGTAATAAATTTGTACGATGAAATAGATGAGTTCATAGAGTTGAACGCAATGCTTCGTCCGGTTTGAATTTGATTTCTTGCGTTATCAGTGAATGTCTGTGATCATTCACCAGCGTTCACGATGGGTCTCGGGATGATGGGACTGGCGTTTGTAGCGGCTAAGATGGGAGGCTTGATCCAGGCGACCGCTACGTTGCTCAGCATCCTGAACGGTCCCACGATGGGCGTTTTTTTACTGGGATTTTGTGTGCCTTTTTGCAATTTTAAGGGCGCTATGGCCGGTGTCTTCTCTTCCGTGGTACGTATTGACAATATAGAAATCTACATGCATATATTAAGATGAAATAGTGATTGACATCATTCACTGATTCTGGGATAAACATATTTACTCCTGTTATCATTCTCTGTGACAAGATGTTTTTTAATTGTTATAAGGTATCTGCGATTATTTTTTCTATAGTTGTTCGCAGGCGTGCATAAAATTGTTCACTAATGGTTCTTCACCACAAGGATATAAGGTTCAGCAATTCCAAATTAATTTCAATTAACATTTTTGAGCAATAAATTTTGCGTTACTTCGTCATTGAATTGAATGCAAGCCTTCATTAGTGAAAATTTGGAATTTAGCTTACGGTATAAGGCATGTTATTGCCGGACAACCTCTCTTGTAAACCACTAGCTCCAAATTATCAATATTTTCCTCTCTCATAAATAATATTTAAATCGGAATATAAAGAACTTCAATGGCATTCCACTTTGACATCATCCCACATTCCAGTTTATCTAATATAGACGCAAATTCCTTTCTATTGTGACTGATCAATGATAAAATTAACAACGCAGAATAATGTATTTATTAGACATTCATGGCCTGGCTTTCGATTGGCATGCAAATGTACGGAGGTCGACCAGAGATGCTGCCGCTGCACATCTCGCAGTGTCCCGTGGGGGACCTCAATGCCACCCTCTCGGACTTGTCTCCCGCGACACCCTCTTCAGCAGTGACACTGGATGAGCTGAGCGACGAACCTGAGTGAGTTATATCTTGATGACATAGTTCCTTTCAGATAGAAAAATGAACTTTATTTTTAAAAATTAAATAAATTTTATGGAACTGTTACTAATGCTTTCGTACTATACATCTTCAAGTTCTCGTCGTCACATTCACCAAATGCCAAAAACATTCAACTGATGGTGGCGTCTAGCGTCCTATACCTAAAAATTAAAATACAGCTATTGAAAATTTTCCAGTGAATGCAGTAAGGAAGGATTGTTTAAATTAGATTTACGTCCGCAGGATGGAAGACTCGTTGGCAGGTTTCTACGGCATCTCATACACGTTCTTGTCAGCGATTGGCATGTCTGTGTGCGTGGTCGTCGGCTCTGTAGTGTCGCTGCTCACAGGTTAAATATGATGATATAGTACATTTTAAATAAATAATCAGTCAGGTTTGTGAGAATATTGATCTAGTACATGGAGTTACAGCTTTTCGCTGTTACATAATTATCCATAACCCAGTCATGTTGGACCTTCAATTTATTTTGAGCAGGCACCGTAATTTTAAGTGCTAAAAAAGTGCGAAGTAAATTTGTTTGTTAGCGATTAAAGTCCGCATGGTGAGATTATTCGAGATTTACAGTTCTATAATATGTTAATGATTATGTAATCGGGTGTGTCAAAAAATCTCAATGAAAAATTGTGAATATGAGATGTACGAAAATTTTTGCTAGTAAACGGACAGAAAAATTAGCCACTTTAGGAAGTTATAGAACATTTTTCGCTCGTTGTGATGAAATCAGTCAATATTTTTAGCGCATTTTCTCATTTATGGAAAAAAAGCGCTACTGTGCTCGTCATGTCCGTCCGTCCGTCCGTGACTTCACGTCACGGACGGACGAGAAAATGCGCTCTCTGACACTCACTGCAGTGAGTACTGATCTAATTTTTTCACTTTCAGGAGGCCAAGACATGGAGGAGCTTGACCCCGAATTCGTTCTTCCATGCCTTAGAAAATATGTCTCCAGAAAATCCAAGTTACAGGAAACAGAATTGAAAAAATTCTTGAATACTTCCACTTCATTCACCGCCGAAAAATCTCTTGAGCAAAAACTAACTGATGGACACCAACCTGATTAAAAAAATGTCGTTGTCTATTGAAAATTTACGTCGTAGCAAAATTAAGAGCGTAGAAGATATACAAAGGATAACATGATTTAATAAGGGACCAAATTACTCGTATATTCTGTCCAGTACCGCTTGCTGCAAGTTTCAATTGATTTTTTTCACTTGCTTTAGCGATGAGCCAAATAGTTGAATAGTAAACTTCCAGGGCATGGAAGCATTAATGTGTCTCTATTTAAGATGATGAGGACAATACAATTATTTATATCACTGTATGTTATTGCACTGTACAAATAAATTATGCATGCAGCTATATTCTGTTGTGACATATGAAGCAATGAAATGCCGTATTACCTGAGGACTGCATGTTGATGTACCCATCGATGCAACACAGTAAATGACACCATCAATCTGTATTACTTATGGACTGCATGTTGATGTAACCATCGATGCAACACAATAAATGACACCATCAAACTGTATTACCTGTGGACTGCATGTTGATGTACCCGTCGATGCAACACAATAAATGACACCATCAAACTGTATTACCTGTGAACTGCATGTTGATGTACCCGTCGATGCAACACAATAAATGACACCATCAAACTTTATTACCTGAGCATTGCATGTTGATGCGCTTGTTGATGCGACATAATAAATGGAACATCCAAGTTGGAGCATTGGAAAGCTGTAGCCTTGTGTCCTCTAAAGGAAAATTGATCAATGCCTTCTACGATGGACAAATGAAGTGCTGGCCTTGCATTAATCAAGCCAGTAAGGGGCAAGACCATTTAAAGCGTGCAAAGAATGGCAGGAAGTTTAGAAGGCTATGCTGCCTCCACACGGAACACGCTTCTATAACATATTTCATGTGCGTCATAACTTTTCAAAATCAAAAATTTGGAATAAATTACGCCGGAGTCTTTTGATATTTTTAATAAGATTTCCCGCATTGGTTTACAATAGGTACAATAACTGCAGTTTGAGTCTTGACATGTTCTGGGAATGAGTTTGCAGGTGCGATTAATACAAATTTAAATTCGTTACTCAACAGTATTTTACTCAGTATTACACCAGGATTAATTAGGTATCAGAATGGGACCTCGAGAAACAAAAATATTTCTGGTGTGAGAGAAGAAATTTTCTGACATACATAACTGATCATGATCTCTTCCTAGTACCATAGATTGCTGTATATCTTAAATATTCCTGTTCATCTTCTAATTGACTGAGTATAAAGGACACACCGACTCCACTTATTATTAAGTGTGTACTTGGGCGGTATAACATATAAGGTTTATATAATACTTCTGACATGATATTGTTGGCAACAGGGCAAACACAAAAAAAAACAAGGTTGTCACTATATTAACATGTAACACTATTTCACTATAATGGATGCATTAGTTTTATCATCGCATCATCACATTCACATGAACTGCAACCACCTTCAAGAAATGCATCATTGTTCTTTTCAAGTTTCATCATCTGCCAGTTAGAGGCTATGGATAAATTTACTTTAAGTTTAGGGTAAAGCCTTGTGTCAAGTATGGCAGGCATGTGCAGTTGTGCCCCTACATGGATAATTTTACTTTAAGTTAGGTTAAAGCCTTGTGTCAAGTATGGCAGGTATCTGCACCCTCTCATGCAAGCGTCTCAGTGTAGGCACGTCAAGGCACCTATAACAGCTCTCTCCTGCACGCTGCAATCTGCCGGGCTGTTATTCGAGAAAGCATACAGAGCGTGAAATGGATTTAGTCATGATGCTGCTGCTACCAGATGGTATAAAAATTTTCCGGCTACTTTTCCTTCTGTCACTCATTTTGTTTTTGTAATTAATTGATGAAGTTATTTCTTAATGTTGGAAATTTCGCATTAATTTGCTAATTTGATACGCAATCTTTTCGAAAATCATATTTTTGTAAAACCTTTCAGCTTGATGATCAGCACTTTCTCATATCTGGGTCTTCGTCTCGGTTAGATGAATGATGGGCCGTTTAAGTAACATTTATTCATGAACGATTAATTGCTGAGTAAGTGAATCTGACTGAATAATTAGGAAACTTATTTTTGAAAACAGTGACCAGATAAATTTTAGTACTCCATCAGCATTTACAAAATTTGGTAAAAACCAGAAAAGAGACTACGTTGGATTGACGAAGCATGATGACTTTCTAGAATTGGGCTCATGGTTTCTTCGACTCGTGACCTTCTCACCCATGCTGGACAGTTGACATAGCATCGGCGCTCGGAACGCGACTATTATAAGTCGTTGCTATTGTTTAGGGAGGCGTTACTGACAACTCACATGCAGTAAACACAAGAAAATACGTTCGGAAAGAAAGCACAGACGGGTTAAATATTATTTTGTTGGGTCATTTTAATTTCTGAAAGTATTGCCTAGGTAACGCCAATAAACTTTTATATTACCATAGGAATCTTGACTTAAAAAAATATTCGAACAAATTGAAGATCGTGGATATAGAATGCACAAATTTTCGTGATAGTGAAACTTTTTGGAGATATTGCATGAGATTCGTCGGTGGGATGTATATAGCTCCCCTTTACGGAGTTATTTCACTTTAATTGAAAGTCACTCCGCAATGATCATATACATAATGCATTACGCCTTTGCAGGAACTGAATCGCTTTCCTCCCTGTAAGAAAGCGATTCAGTTATACAATGAGTTATGGTTACTTTCTCTTCGACGTTTAATGGAAATTCATAATAGGAAGATATTGCAATGATACTTCAACTACCATTACGCATTGTGGAGTACTGTTTATTTTTTAATTTCTACAAATGCCAACCGCCATCTTAACTATCTCACATGCCAGCTCGATTTGAAGCGCAACGTCGATATATATTGGCGAAAGTTGTGCTAAGAGCGCAGTTTATCGAAGCTTTATCTCATTTATTGTTTAATACATGGGCCAGCCAAGTCAAGTTGCGCCCATCCTCCACCGACCTATTGAAGCCTTAATTGGCTTCTACAAGAGACACTCCTCGACTGTGTAGCCTGTGTCTGGGATGGTCCGGCGCAGCACTAAATGCCGGAGCAGTAAATGCGTGCGCGCGGAATGAAGGCTGAGCAGTTTGTCAGGGAGCGCTCGGTAAACAACGCCTATTGGGGGAACTATGTTATTATGCAGCGTATCAGCAGGAGTGACATAAATTGCGGGAGAGATCTATATTCTTGACCATAACGGTGTTTGGTACGAAAATGTTTACCGTTATGTGTGTTATTAAAGAAATTCAAGTCATAACAAAATATAGGTGAGACAGAAAAGATCTAGTTTAAAAAAGAGGGATATTCATGATGCAAAAGATTGTTAAGTCTAATGCATTACCATAAATTTAAAATTAATATTTGCTTCTATGCACTTTGAGCGGTTGAGTGAACCAAACCGTTATGTTATCATCATCATTTCAAATGTTTTCTTATTCAAAAGGAATTTAAAAGCAAAGAAAACGCCAAGAAAATTCACCATATCGATATTGAAAACGTTTCGGAGTCCAGCTCCATCATCAGCTTCTTATTCAAATTCCATTTACGATGTCATGAAGTACATTCTTTTTGGTTTGTTAATACTTTTCTGACGCTGGTTACGCTTACATCTCTGATATGATGCTTTGGTGCAGAAAACTCTCGCAAAAATAAGGTAAATTCTAAATATTTTGTTTAATTTTGAACAGATTCACACTACACAAAATCACGACACAATCGGAATATATATGGCTTCACTTCATCAGTATCTGGCAGGATTTCTTAGTTTAAAATTAAATTCCCCTTCAATAAAGAACTATTAATGCATTAGTGTTGGATTGCGACTTGTAATATATACGTCTGCCGATCAATCAATGGTTACACGTTTAGATATCGGAATCTTTTAACGGCATGTTAAAATTATCTCGATCTAACTATAGGAGCGAGTTTATATCTTTTGCTCATTTTATGATAACGCATTGAAATATATGAACCATTTTATGGCAATTAGCACTGATGATGTTCTATATCATAATTTTTATCTGTTTTGATATACATTTGATTACAAGTTCACCTCTCCTGGTCTCCCTATAGCAACAAGTTCATCTCTCCTGGTCTCCCTATAGCAACAAGTTCATCTCTCCTGGTCTCCCTATAGCAACAAGTTCAAAACTACCGCGTGTTGCAGGAACGTCTCCTTAACAGCCGCGTGTTACAGGAACGTCTCTTTAACAGCCACGTGTTGCAGGAACGTCTCCTTAACTACTGCGTGTTACAGGAACGTCTCCTTAACTACCTCGTTGTAGGTCATCCTGCCCGAGTTGACCTGAAGGGCCGCCTCCTTCGCCTGACTAAATTTGGGACCGCAGTGCGTGACGTGCAGTGATGGGGTGAGGTGTGTGTCGATCCCGCGAGATCTCCACTGAGACTCTGTATCGATTGGGCTTATTTATTATTTCATTATAGTTCGAAAATATATTTGATTATTCTTATTCGTATACCGCCGCAATACATAAGATCAAGACTCTCATTTCGTGCACACGAAATTCTTTCCGTGTTAATACTAATCCACATATTTAAATAAATAATCACTTTAAATATTCTTTATCTTGTTCAACTGTTTCGTTAGTTTCCACGTACACTTTTTATTTTCATTAAGAAAATCCCCCTACTCTTCCTTAAACCAAAAACTTGTGAGTAAGAAACATTACTATTTCATTGATAGTTAATTTTTTATATTTTTTTTTCTCATTCCCGTATTTGTATTAAATTATAGTTTAGAATACTTTTAATATTTTTATGATTTTCAACTAGCTCACTAATCAACTTAACTCACATGATAATAGTATTTCCTTCATTGGAAAGAGATGTGATTAGTATAACATTTTGAGCGACAAAAAATAAATAAATTAACAACATATTGATATTACTTTGAGTTGCGATAAATAACAAGACAAAATTTGTTGCCCTGAAACGATAAAATTTTAGGAAATTATCAAAATCTCGGAGATTTTCAGCCATAAGTTGACGAGAAAAGAAAATCAGTCTGACCTAAACAGCATTTTGATTTCGTCACTGAATAGGGATACGCCTCAGACTTCTACATATGCTGACGAATCTCCTAGAATAACTTTGATGACATCGCTAGTCAGGCTGGGCACTCCTGGCTGCAGTGTCTTGACTAAGTCTTGATGACATCGCTAGTCAGGCTGGGCACTCCTGGCTGAGTGTCTTGACTAAGTTTTGATGAAATCGCTAGTCAGGCTGGGCACTCCTGGCTGCTGTGTCTTGACTAAGTCTTGATGACATCGCTAGTCAGGCTGGGCACTCCTGGCTGAGTGTCTTGACTAAGTTTTGATGAAATCGCTAGTCAGGCTGGGCACTCCTGGCTGAGTGTCTTGACTAAGTCTTGATGACATCGCTAGTCAGGCTGGGCATCACTATCTGTGTGTCTTGACTAAGTCTTGATGACATCGCTAGTCAGGCTCGGCACTCCTGGCTGCAGTGTCTTGACTAAGTCTTGATGACATCGCTAGTCAGGCTGGGCACTCCTGGCTGAGTGTCTTGAATAAGTCTTGATGACATCGCTAGTCAGGCTGGGCATCACTGTCTGCTCTGTCTTGACATCACCAGTCAGTCTGTGATGTCCGTTGTAATGTTTAATGTGCAAAGGACGTACAAATTTGATTCGCTCGCGTATGTGATGAAATTTAAGGATCGTATACACCGTAAAAGCATTGAGTCTTTTCAAAGATACATTGTTCTACTATCGCTATATATCTCAAATAGTGCAACTCAAGTTAATATAGATAACAAAGCAAAACTCTTTCCAGAATATGATAATGAACTTAAACCCGTTTTCAGTGTTATATTAAATTTAGTGTACTCGTAAATAAAAGTATCATTAAAATATTAATTTCGCCTCGTGCGTTTTACCATCTTGCAGTATTTGTTACAGAGAATTTTTAGTTACATTTTCTGCTGACAAGTGCTTACCAAAATCTGCGTGCGGACATTCATGCACAGAAAAAGTTTCCCGCAGACACCAAAGTACAAGAAACACTGCGGCTTCAAGTCAAGGGAAGGAATTTGATCAAGTGTAAAACGTGCCAATGAATCACGAGAATCGTATCTCCACGACCTTCACAAGTAAGCATAAATTCACAAGAGCATATGAATACTTGCTTTCTAATTTTTTTTTTTCACAAAATGTTTTGAATAATAAGTAGCTAGATGTTAGTGTTACAATACCTAATCTTTCCTGTCGTATGTGTGATTAATGTAATAATGTGGTCAGATTCACTATATTATTTAGCTTATCTCCGAGAGAGTTAGAAGAATGTTCTTGTTTCTGCATGGGCTCGAGCATCACGATGAACTGGCCATGACTGCAGGTCTGTTGCGTTAGAATGGCCCGGTATGTCGTTCACTTCCTCACTACACGACACGAGGCTAAATTACGCTCTTAATTCTTTGGTCGGGAATTATCTCTGGGCGTCCTTTAGCTTATCTCCGAGAGAGTTAGAAGAATGTTCTTGTTTCTGCATGGGCTCGAGCATCACGATGAACTGGCCATGACTGCAGGTCTGTTGCGTTAGAATGGCCCGGTATGTCGTTCACTTCCTCCCTACACGACACGAGGCTAAATTACGCTCTTAATTCTCTGGTCGGGANGTGTGAAATATTAGTCAAAAGTTGTTTTGTACGAATACTTTTTTGACCCGAAGAAGTTAACATGTTGCATTAATTTTTGTTGCATTGAGATTTAATTTCTATTGATGCTATTTTTGAATACAATGCGCCTTTAAACATAATATAAATCACTTCTCCTGTTCAGTTTGTGTACTTACATACATTAAAATACGATTTTTCAAGTGTACGAATATTTTTTTCCCCCCACTGTATGGTAATGTCATAGGCTGGATCTATAAACACCGTTGATGTTTTCTGCCTTCAACAACAAGCTAGGATTTAAGCTGGGATCCTTTGTGCATAAGGCAAGCGTCTCGAGGATCGCTAATCCTATTTCCTCCCATTAGGGGCAAATCCATGGAGGCATTTCAGATTTATAAATGCCTCTATCTTGTATTACGGCAAAATTGAAAATATTTTATATTCGTGTGTGCAACGATACTGTACAAGGAACACATCGAGGATATTTTAAATTATGAGAATAATGTACACAAATAGGGATTGTTAAGCCACAAGTAGGTTAAAAACGAGCACTTGAAGTGAGGACGATCAGAGCCAGCGTATTTTTGGCTGTTCTCCTCTTATGCCCGACCACGCGCAGATGAAATTACTTCTATTTCGAATAAAATATACGTAAAATTTCTTCAATTGAGAACAAAATGCATGAATATTGAATTTGTGCATCAAGTATTGGGAGCTAAAACATCTTACTACGGGTTATTTCTCCCAATTAACAAATCTAGATTCGTGCATAAGCATTATTTAAGTGCATTTTGAAATTGTCTAAGGCAAATTTCAGAGCTAGGCAGAATATTTAAGTGTGTTAGCGTTTCTCACGCCCTCTGCACGGAATAATCAAAATTGCGGGAGGAGGCTCACTTAATCAACCTATGTCCTATATGATGGTGAATGCTGCTGTGCCGATAGCAGTTTTGCCAAGAAAATTTGACGAAAAAATTTCATCATCACTTGTGTTTCATTTTCATAGGAAGATATCTCATCATGAATATTACCTAAATGCTTCGAGTTATTCAACAGGGCAGCAGTTTGATTTTATTGGAATAATGTTACTTTTTAAAATATATTTTTAATGAGGTCATATCTTGCTTTAACGCTAACATGTTAATGCTCGGTTGTTCATGTGATTATTATGAGGTCTTGAGTGAGCAAATTCAATAGATAATTTAGGAATCATGTACAGGTCAATTCAATATGAAAAGAATCACTTGTGCCTCTGACGACATTTTTACAGACGCCATTGCATACAGCTTCTGTCACGTTCAGTTCTTATATTTTTCAAGAAGCTATATGATGACGCTTGTTTAAGTGTCTTGCATGGTATTCCATTGGAATTTATGTTTTCGCTCCTCGTTCACTAACTGATAATATGTAGATCAAATTATTTTATTAATAATTCCAGTCAATTGAAGCCATATTCACCACTAACTCACTAATCTACGGTGCCACTCTACCCAAACTGCTATGCACGGCTGAATCAATTATGCTTAAGCGGAAACTGTTTTCTTCGGTATTAGCTTGTCAATGCAATAAATGCTTTTTCTTTGATAACTGATGACTACAATAACTGATATCAAACGACAACGTCTCTTACTACATTAAGTTCTGTCATTGCAATAACTGCAATTTATTCTCTTACAGCTGTGACTGTAACAGTAGCAACTGCCGACGTAAACGTAGGTCAAGGGCACGTAAACATAGCAGAAGTTCTGCGATGGCCGTTGAGAGTTGCGGCTGAACTGGTTACATCCATTGTGTTGAGCATTAAATTGCTTAAAAATTTGCGGTAAGAGGTTAATAGAATGAATAAGAATTAAACGCGATAATAGAATAGGAATTATAAGCAATAGGCAGAGTTCAATTGATTAATTTTTAAGAGGCAGAGATTAACTTTTAAGGCTTTCATACGAGACTCGCAACTTCAAGGTTCATATGATTTTAGCATAGCAGCTTTCTGAGCTCAAACACCGATAAATCGAATGAATTCTCCTTCCACAACACTGGAGAATAAAACTGTATTTTTGTTGAGAAACGTAGATGCGTACATGTTGTACAATTTTCTAGCAGGCCGGTTACTTGATATCGCTTCATTTTAAAACGAATTTCGAAAAATTCAATTCGAATAGTGAAGTTTCAGGCATGTTCTTGAAGTGCTCTAAAACTGAACTAACGATAAATGACACAGTATAGGGCTGTAGGGCCTGGCTTCAGGCTTTGAAGTTTGGTCATTGGCTCAGGATTTTTTGTTTATTTATGCATCATTCATGTAATTCACGCCTCGGTGCCCAGCGGTCAAGATTTTTTCCAAAAGTGTGGATGCTTTCTTCGTTACAAGGCTCTCTCCTGTGACCCACATGAAAATTCGCGCGATGACATACAAAGGTGAAAAATCATCTATTTAGTACTTAAATAAAAAAATAATTTAGTAATATGTTGAGTTTCCGTAAAGAAAATAGCTGACGAATATATAAATTAACGGGTGAAACTCCTGCGGACCATCAACTTTGACGACAATGTCTTTGTCACATGACAGACGACGCGTCCCATAGTCCGCTTATTTCTATGTCGTTTTGTTGAAATGGTGTGGATTTTTAAGTTGAAGCGAATCGGCGCCTAATTTTTATCATATATGATGCCTACTTAATATGCTTTGTCGGAATACTTTCTTTCTCGCTTACATCTTGACTTCTATTAGAGATACTGACTGCTAATCTTGGCCCACGATCACCTATCGTGAGTATCAATCATGACGTTTTGAAGATTGGAAATTTAAAAATTATTTCAGATTCTAAACGGAAGCATAGATAGATGGGCACAGGTGGTGCAAGACAACAGGTGGTTCTCTCATCTATGCGCTCAGCCTGCACGCCTGAGTGCTCTCTGCCTGACTGCAAGGTCAGCTTCGTCATTAAATATGAACTCTCTTTTTTCTACCCGCCACGATGTTCTTTGTTCTGGGCGTCAATTACTTTTCCTTTCCTTGGAATGCACGCGAGAAAAAAAAAAGTATTACACTTCTTTTGTGGAAGATCCGATTGAAGGAACTACTTCGCTTCTCTTAATCGTTGTGTGTGAACCCTGAATATTTTTTGCTTTGCGTTAAGATATATTAATGCAATGAACGTTGGAGGAAATGAAAGGTTTGTTCGACCTGAGGGTCATCGTACACTACATTTCAAATATTGGTCACTTGCCCAGAATCCTTGCTAGACGATCGGGCGTCTCGAACGTGCCCATTGTTTCTCTATACATTGCCGCGCCATTGCACTACATCTTCAATTGTGATTCTTGCTCTTCGATAGGGCGAGCGGATGAAAAATATTTGGCCATGCAAGAATTAAAGACTTCATGCGGTTCATATAATAGAGGCCTTTAGCAATACCCTACGATTAGGCAGTTATCAAAGCATTGAAAAATTATGAAAATTTGAATCTATGGAAATATTTTCTTCTCGTGTGTTCTTATTTGAATATAATTTTTTTCGCAGAGGCTAAGCAATTACATGTGTATGTGTGGTCTCTTATACACATCTAGATGTGTATAAGAGACAGCCCCACGATCGCCCCAAGCTCGACGGGTATTTCACAAGATTCTCTTTCGGCGCTTATTTCGCTCCGGCAACCGGAACCTAAAGCGGACATAGAGCTTCTAATTTACACCGTAAAAAGAATTTGGGGCGACCCTGAGCCAGCGGCTGACAGGCATCCAAATTTTGATAGGGCATATGCCTTTCCTCATGAACTGGTGACATAACATTTCCATTAATGTTGATGACTCTCAATTCATTACATTTTTCTGACTCACATGTGAAAATTGCCTAAATTTGAGAAACGTGAAATGCATATAGATTCAAAATCTCATAAAAATCAGAAACAAAACACAAGCTAGGAACCCTCGGACAACACAAAAATTCATTTATGGAGGTACAATTTTAAAATTTATCTTAATGCTGCAAAGGAACTTTTCAACAATGACCAAACATTGACTCTCGCTTTAACTCAGCGCCAACAAGCATGTTTACCTACGACTGTGTGTGCCTGTGCATATCGTTTCCTGGTTCCGCTAAAACGTTTGTGTGGAACAAACACAAGAAATTTAACCACTGTCACAGTCAAGGCTCACGCATGTCACTGATGTAGGCTCAGCTGTTCACCACGAGTCCCCAGTAGTTGCTGCATCCGTCGTAAGTTCTACTACAAAAAATCTTTAATTTACAGATGTTAATTTAACAATTGTTAATCATCGTCAGCTCATTGATCATTATAGGACGTTTGCAGTCTTGTGTGCAATGAATACCGAAAAAATTTGCCCCCTACTTGAAAAAATTGATCGCTTCATGTTCTATGATAATCCGTGATCATGGAGTCATGGAAATATCATTTTAATTACTGCTCGCATGGTCATCTTAATTTCTTATGGTAGGAAAAATTTACTATCTTTTTGAAGTTGTTCGAGCAGCTATCAATTGAACAACTTAGTTGTCATTTAGATATTTGTGTATCATCTGAGTATCGAGCATTTTGAATACGAAAACTCAGACCACTATGGTACATGAATCAAAGCAAACGAAAAATATTAGAAATAGCGGAGTATTCGATCGTAAAAATGCGTCATAGCAACCATTGCGAAAAATAATTTAGGATGATGGGCAGAATTTTGTCCAGCCTAAATTGCAGTGACATCGATTCCTCGTACATGATACATTTTATCAGTATAAGATCTTATCCAGATCGTAATAGCGGCAATTCATCAGCAAGAGATGTTCACCAGAACTTATTAGGATGTTCTTTCACATGAGATATTCTAAAGAACTCAAAAGAAACAACAGTTTTTTCAGAAGAAGTAGCAATCAGCAGTGAAAATATGAGACCGATCCTAATTGTACTGGACAGCATGTCAGATCTAAATTGGACTAGACAGCATGTCACATCTGAACTGCTGGACTGGTCAGTATGTCAAATCTAAATTGGACAAGACAGCATGTCAAATCTGAATTGGACGGATCGGTGTGTCAGATTTAAATTGGACAGGGCAGCATGTCAGAAGTGATTTGAACGTCTTATTTGTTTCGGGACAAAAATATTTACTCATTTATAGTTTCATAGCACCAGCTGTGCAGTAGCTACATGGAAGTACTCCAGCTATATATTAAATGCCCTTAAGGTGGCTTGTACGTCTTCAGGAATTTGGTGAAGGTGAAATGTTTGACAGGTGCACTCTAGACGCACGAGGGCTGATGCGTGATGCGCTGAGGTTGAGAAAATGGGCGGCGTTATACAGAAAGTTTCGACCTGGAAATAACAGCTGGTTATTGCGCTGTAAAAACATTGATAAAAATCATGGATTGAAAAGGCAGGTGAAAATATCTTCATCACTAACTCACCGAAAGAAAAATTAAACAAAAGTATTGTTGATAAATTTATTTTTGCACTAATGTTGGGATTAATTACTTAACCTTTCGACATGCCTGGCAGCCCATTCAATTGTCAATACATTTAAAATATAAACTGTTCGCAATAAGTGGAAGTAGAATTTTATGAAGCGAGAGAGCTTAGATTCATGGACGCTGAATATTTTTGCTTCGAAATAGATTATTTCGCTTGATCAGCTGCTACAAAATATCAAATTGCGACACAGTAAGAACTTTTTAAAATATGATTGGCTTGGTATTAAATTTTTAATTAGTGTACGCACTCTGAATATATAGGCAAGCAGATCTTAAGTTCATTGCAATGCAATGCTGGATGCGTAAAAATTGCCATAGAGCCTCCATGCCGTAACTTCTGCAATTAATCCATTATTGGAGCTGCCGCTGCAATGTAACTGTAAATTTCTTGTCATACTTACTATTGCCACGAGAATAGCCTTCCCGCTTGTCATTGCTACGAAATTTAAAATTGATGTCCATTGTATCAACAACTCGAGATTTATTTAAAAATGGAGTCAGACTCGAAATAAAATTACTTGCATTGGTATCAGTCATGATCACCCGTATGAGTGGGAGCTAGATAATAACAAACGCTTCCCATTTTGCAGCGCCAACTAACAGTTAACATGACTGCCTTTTGCACTATACACTTGCGAGCAGTTCATTTGTTCCGGCGAAAGCAGCTGATATCGTGACGCGTTATCGCGTCGTTACCTGAGGACGCGGGTTTATCCTGGCAATTAAATGTTTGTAGAGGTCATTGCGATATGACCTCGTGCAGTTTAACACCCTGTCGTTAGGTCGTTTCAATGACTGGCTATCAAACAACATACGTTTTATTATTTCCGACAGGCACGCATATATAGTAACGGTGAACATTGTTTTTGAAAGCGGAATTCAGGTTAATCGTTGTGTTATTAAGTTCATTATTTATGTGACACGTTATAATGAATTCGTTAACTTATTCACAATATAAGTTAAATATTAAAATAAGAGTTAGTTTAACTTTCATTAATTTACCTTGAAATGAAAACCCAGATTGTTTTGTGTAATCATAAATTTATTTCTTGATACTTGAGAGTAGAAATCATACATGTAGGATTTTAGAAATCATAAAAATTTTTTATTCAGTTCCAATTTTTAGCCACTTTATATATTATAATGAGAAATACATCATCGTTACCTACCAAAATTCCTAAACTTTAAATCTGGTTTGAGTATTGTTTCATAAAAACTTTCATCAAATAAATCAAAGCAAATAATCCCACCAACTTCAGTTCTAGTCACGGCTTGCCAACGAACAAAGCGAGCAGTTGCCATGTGGCGCACCCGCTTCCACCTCGGCAATTCTCTTCGTTACCGAGAAGATGTGCCCAATTCATTTTTAAACCGCATTCGTGAACGGTTCAATCCTGGGCAGAGTTAAAGATCCACCAAAACACAACCACCAACAAACGAGAATTTTTTTCTTCTATATTAGGCTCGGGAATTATTAGAGGTTGGGAAAATATAATGTAATTTCAGACGCTTACAATGCAGGGCTGATGAACTTGCTGTATGTCTTTCATGATGCGATAATTTTCCATCATTTAGGGACGTAACAATATAGATGGATATCATTATAGTTGTTATATATAGTTATATATTATTATATATAGTTATTATATGGACAGAAACTAAAAAAACTAAAACTTGTATTGTTGTGTGAGCCACATCCTGATAAGCACGTGAGATATAATGCGAGAAACATCAAATTCATAACTTTTTTCATATACTTATTGAATCTTGATTGATATAAGATGCTGAGGTGTCGATTCACATTTAAATAAAGTGATAACATTTTTTAATTGGAAGTATGATTTTCAGTTGATATTTGAAAGCCTGTATTTTGTTTCTGATGCTTCGTTTTCTTAATTTCAGGATTTGAGGAGCGACAGCAGGCTTATCCGTAAAAACCAATAAGCTTCATCCTGAACAACATATGGGATTCATCAACTTCTACAAGGTGACTAAAAAACTAAAGCATTATACTCATAGTATCTATTTTCAAAACTATAAATTAATTAGAATTTTTTCTGTGTTAAGCTAATTGTACTGGATAAATTGTAAATGTTGTTTACCAGTGGGAAATTTGGTAGATTAATTAAATTGTTCATAGATATATGCATGAATTACGTTTATGATAAGCTTATTTCCTAATATAAAAAATACCCGAATAACAGTTCGAACTGATAATATAAAATTTGTTTCGATAAATATTTTAAGGTTCATGCGCATTCCGAGCCGGAAATTATCGAACCAGTCATTATCAATCAAAGTTAACCTAAATTACCAACCAAAAATGAAAACCCTGGCGTTCACTTCAAAAATCTTTAATGACTTTATACACGCACGTCGAGAATTTCGTCCATCCAGTTTCTAAAAAACTTCGCCGTCAATAATTTTTCATATAGATTGTTAACAATGCACACCTGTTAATCAACAATGTATATGATTTAGCTTTTATAAATATTGAAGCACTTCGGCAAAAATGTTCGCTGTAGAGAATATAAATGTAAAGACCGCGCAACTGCAACATCCCATTGTTCATCAGCTGGCAAATCATGGCTGAGCGCAGCTGGTGTTTCGCAATAGCGGAAAAATACAAACTATTCTGGCCGCATTCTGTTTAATGTTTTTTGTAATAATAAAATTTACACGGTTAATAAAATCGCAACGATAATTATATGAGAATTGTAAATACTGCATTTATTTCTAAAATAATGATAATAAAAAGATACTTTTACAATTTGAAATAATTCTAAAATCTTTAGTGTAATGAAACATGTGAAGTATTATTCCAATAAAAAGAATTCGCTGCAAGATTTTGAGGAAATTCATCGCAATGATTCACGACAATAATTTCATTGAACATAAATTAGATGATGCATAATTAAAACCTAATATACCAGTTTATTTCAAGAGAGTGTACAAATAATTTTTTTAAACGGATTATTAAAGGAGTTCAAGCACACATGGATGTAATGTGAGAGCTTGAGTTGCGCTGTAAATTTTTTTCCTACCGCAGGGGCAAACACTTTCCTATCTGACATCCACGCTTGACTGGGCAAGAAAGTTCGTGATATGCGACCCTGGTACTCCAGAATAATAAATGCCGAAATTTAGAACAATCAAAATTATTTATAAATTCATTGTTCACGTCATCTCTCACAAAATCAGTACTAAAAATTCTTAATTGAAGCCAAATAAACTTAGAAGAGAAAAAATAGACAAAAATGTATATTAAAAAGAAATAACGGACGCAATTCTTTCGAATTTGCAAATAATATTGAGAGGGCGAACGTAATTTCAAAACTTTATTTTCACAGCTACGTATACATTTTTTTTTTGCATTGCAGTTTTCGGATGTTGTGGCACGCGTCATGCGTTCCTATAGCTACATGCAAAATCCAGACAAGACTCAATTTCACTGAAGATTTAATCACAATCAATAAACCAATCAAACTGTGGATTAATTGTACGGCAAATCATTCACCATTGAGTTTAGTTCATTTAGGCGGCCTTCATTGTCTTTGAACTTCACTTGATCATCAAGACGCCATTGACAAATCTGGCCAATGAATGCTAGTGACCTACACAAATATCCGAATAAAAACACACCATGCCTTGCAACATGCGCATGCTAATCGTACCAGCCGCCTCATCAGAGATCATGCATGTAGATAAAACATAAAAAATGTGTCTAAGCCACATATAATAAATAGTTCATGCTATATATGACTCGAATTAAATTTATGATAAGACTGCAGTCGACGCATAGCTAGCTAGGTCTGTGGACGGAAAGAGGCAGTCTTAGTTTAAGCAGGAATTCTTCGCATTATTTTGTGTAAAAATGAAACTTTGAACAACAAAATTCAACATAATGAGTACATCACTCACTAGGGTGGAGTGAAAAATTTATATATTTTTAATTTTTTCATGTCTTTCTGCCAAATGAATCCCATTTATGAGAAGGATTTTCAAAATAAACAACTTGTAGCGTCGACGTAAAACTACCAAAAAAAAAAAAATAATTGAACATTGCAGTGATACTAAACAATGAATATTTAACAATCAACTCTAAACTATCACACAAAATAGGACACAATTCGATTGATGCTAATTGGTTCTTCGAGCATTCGCATGTTCTAGCGACGCGCAGTCACTACCCTCCCTCTCTCCCTATAGGCCGAGGTTGACTAGAGGATGTTGTAGGCACGTGTGTCTAGGTTATTTTATTGTCCTCCATCATACTCTTAAAATATTATTTAGTGCCCGTATTTCAGCCTTATTTTTTAACACCGTCTTAATTAATGTTTTGTGGTAGATAGTGATGATATTCTTATTCGTTTGTGCCACTTAAACATATGATACAGCTGGTTCTCAGCACGCCGTTGAGGTAGTAGGTAATGAAGTTGAGAGTTTGGAAAGCCTTGCAAAATTAGCGAGAAAATGTTGCCAACATGCAATGGGTTGTAAAATACGAATTCTTGAGCGTGAACAAGGTAAAAATTTTCTAGACAATATTTATCAACCATACAAATCCTGTCTTTATAATAGTAGCTAGGAAGTTTAACTAATGAAAATGGCATAAATACCTTGAGTAAAACTGAATACATCATATTACATCATGCACCACTCATGCAAGACATATATTCATCATCATGCACATCATCATACTACATCATGCACTTATATCGTGCAAGAAGGTACCACTACTCTTGAGGACCAACGATCAAGTATGGACATTTTTGATACGGGCCAATTCTTATATAATACGGGCCAATTTTTGTTATACGGGCCAAAAACCACTTCGCTCTCTATAAATATTTTCCCCGACAACAGTACGAACTTTGCGTTGATAATTAACCTTCTATATTCACAGAAAATATAGACACGATTGTTTCTTATTCGTCTTATTTACCCTGGAAGGTAGGCTTCCTGTTTTGATTTCTAACAAAAGGCATTGAAAAATATTTCATGAATGATGGCTCTCAATGCCCGATCAAATATTCAGTTTTATGTTTCGATTTTTCCCATTGTTTCACAATGAAGAGATTTCAGCAGGATAAATTAATTAGCAGATAGAGATTTACACGAAGAAGAAATAACCAGTGTTGATATTTGATTTCGAAGTGGAAGGCTGCTATTAGAGAGCAATCATAGACAAGTTATTGACAATTCAAAACCGGCTACTGACAATTCTTATTCGACTGTAATTTGTCCTATACTATTAATTTGAAGAGATGATCGTAAGTTATCAAGAAAGGCTGCGGTCCAATGAAGAAACCTTCTTGTCTCGACTACTGGAACGCTCTTAAAGTTGTCGCAATGGCAGCACAAAAAAAAAATCAAATATCAACTTAGAGAAAATATATATAATATTTTCATTGTGCTTTAAAGTGAAAATAAATAAAATGTGCTTTACATTTTTCAATTTAGAGTTTTTCGTCGATGCCTGATATTTTGATTAAACTCTAACTATAACTCTCTTTGAAATTTTGATTACTTCGTTTTCTTTATTCAATTATATTCACGATATTGATTCCATTTTCAAATAGAGTTTAAATTCATAGCTTCAGGATTTGCGTAATCGACGAATATTGTCCGGACGTTATTTTTTTAAATATGAACAAGCAGTTAATTCTTCTTCTTCGTTTTGTTATCCGGAGTTCCAGCGTTGCAGCTTCTGCATTTTGAAACTCCATCGGCTTGCTGGCAATATCCTCTCACTAATGGTTCCCTGAACCACTAACTCTCAACATCATGACCGCTTTTATTCTTGTGGACGTGCCAAAAAACAGCCGTATTTGGTTTAGGAAAGAATATCATTACTGTATATAACAAAATACTAATTAATTGATAGGCGTTCAACAATATTAAAGTGAAATACATTCACTAAATGATAATTCAAGGCAGTAATGGAGTGCAATAGAGTAACCTACAGACACACAGGCATTTGATTCATAATTGGTTTGGTGAATAAATATTTTTTCAACAAGGTCATGTTTATAATCCAGGTTATCTTATAAAAGTTGAACATGAAATTAAAAAACACGCTGAAATTTACGTTTTTGAAATTGCTGCAACTCTAGAAATTGTTTGTTTATAAAATCCTTTGAAAAAATTCATTTGACAAGTGTCCACTTAAAAAATAGTCGGATAGCGAATTTCCATAAAGTTGTTTTTCACTCCATCCTATGTTCAGTCTTGCCCCTCCTGTTAAGTATTATTTATGTATTAACAAAATTTATGTCCGTTGTATTTTAGTTGAAAATGTTTTCTTGGTTTTCATACGCGCGACTACTGAAAAAAATTGGTGCACATAATTTTCTTAGGCTCATTTATTGTGTTCGTTATCATTCTTTTGAAACACTTTAATTCCTCATTTGAATGTTGAGCCCGTGTAGTGTTTCGTCGTTGGCGTGTGTGCACTGCGAAATCAAGGCAGTTTTGACTGCCAATTCCTTTGAGATTCAGCAGATGATTGAGCGCTGTCCGAGTTCACCGAGCTTGCAATTTTAAGATTTATATCTTTCCTTGGTTAAGAAACAAGGTTGATCCACGAATGCTGATTTCAAATTCTGCGCCGCTATTTTTGCTTCGCCTATACCACTGATTACTTTCGCTCTGACTGACGTACATATGTACATGTGCAACAGTAATATATAATTTCAGACGTGCTGCTATATCGCCTGAATATTAGTTATAGGTACAGCTAGTTATCAAGTCATTTCTGGCAGTCTATGAATTTCAGAACAACTGCTGGAACGTTGAACATATGTTGAAAAGGTGAATTCGATTATTTAAATAGCAGATATTGTATGTACTGTTATCGGTGAGCACCGAAATAATCTAGCTCCAATCCTTGATATCATAATTCCCAATTAAGAGCTAGTGTTTCAAGTTACTGCGTCATTTTTTATATCTGTTGGAGTTGGTCAAAAATGTTCAGTTGACATTTAT